TTGAAGGCCCTGGCAGGCTGATGTTGGCTCAGCTTCCACAGCATCCCTCAGACTTCAGGCTATTCCTTGTCATGCTTTTTCTTAGATGACTTCAAGCCATTTCCTACAAAGTAATCTCTCCCTTCCCAAGGGAAAGATCCCCTAGGATAACCAACACAACAGAAATTCAGAGGGCGGCACCAAGGAATGCCCACTTTGGCAAACATACACTAAAACTGGAATGACACAGAGAAGATGAGCATAGCCCCTGTGCAATGATGACACACAAATTTGTGAAGTGTTCTATATTTTCATATGATCCTATATACAGAAAATCCCAAAGATTCCACAAGAAAGCTACTGACATTAATAGAAGGATTCAGCAGCAAAGTAGCAGAATATAAGTTCAACATACAAAAAATCAGTTGGATTCCTCCATGCTAACAAAGAAAACTTAGAAAAGGAAATTAAAGAAACAATACCATTTACAGTAACACCCCCCAAAAGATAAAATACTTAGGAATAAATCTAACCAGGGATGTAAAAGACGTATACTAAGAAAACTACAAAATATTACTACAAGAAACCAAAGGAGATCAATGTGTATGTAAAAATATACCATGCTCATGGATAAGAAGATCTAACATTGTGAAAATGTCAATACTATATAAAATTATTATAGATATAATCCAATCACAACCTAAATTCCAATAGCATTCTTTAAAGAAATGGAAAAACTAATCATCAACTTTATATGGAAAGGAAAGAGGCTGGGATAAGTACAGCACTATTGATGAAGAAGAACAAAGTCGGAGGCCTCACACTACCGGATCTCAGAACCTACTGTATACAGCCCCAGTTGTCAAAACAGACTAGTACTGGTACAATGACAGATATGTAGACCAATGAAACAGAACTGAGAATTCAGACATAAATCCATTCACAATAGGATACTATTCAACAATAAGGAATAACAACAAATCCGTGAAACATCTCACAACATGGATGAATTCGGAGGACATTATGCTCAGTGAAATAAATCAATCACAAAAGGACAAATATTGTATGAGACCATCATTATGAAAAATTTTGAAAATACAAGAAAAGGTTTACACACCAGGAAAAAAAAAAAAAAACAACTACTTCATGGTTACCAGGGTTGGGAGGTGGAGGGAGAGAAAATTACTAGCTAGATAGAAGACATGTGTTAACAGTGAAGGAAGACAATACACAATGTAGGAGAAGTCAGCACAACATGACCAAGGCAAAGGAAGACACTGAGAGAAACGCAAGAGAAAAAGGGCAACTACGGTAATGACCATACCATAGATAATCCTGCAACAATAGTATTAACAAACAATAATTTATGAATGGATACATGGGTAGATAGGTGTGCTAAAGAGGTATGGGAGGGTACAAAGAGGTGTGGGTGTAAGGGAACAAAGCCATCTGCAGATACAGGTTTGGTTGTGGATATTTCTACATACATAATTGTAGGGATTGCATGTATATTGATATAGACGATAGAGCAATACAAGGGGCACAGTTATGGAAATTTCTTAGACATAAACAAATACGTTGCAAGAAGAAGTTCCTAGGCTCAAAGGTGAAGGACCATAGATTCAGGAGACATCTATGTTGATGGGCAAAGCATAGTTCATAAAGACAATGTTCTGCATCCTACTTTGGTGAATAGCATCTAGGGTCTTAAAAGCATGCAAACAGCCATCTAAGACACAACTTTTCTCATCCAAAGCAAAGGAAAATGAAGAAAACCAAAGACTAAAGGGAGCAATTAGTACAAAGAACTAATGAATCATATGAACCATAGCCTACAAAACCCCAAGGTCAGAAGAACTAGATGGTGCTCAGCTACCATGATCAACTGCTCTGACTGGGATCACAACAGAGGGTCCCAGACAGAGCAGGAGAAAAACACAGAACAAAAAATCAAAGTCCCAAAAAGGACCACACTTACTGGTCTGACAGAGACTGGAGGAATCCTTGAAGCTATGACCCTAAGACACCCTTCTTACCTGGAACTGAAGCCATTCCCAAAGACCACCTTTCAGCCAAAGAATAGACTCACTCAAAACTCACTGTCATCAAGTTGATTCTGACTCATAGAGACTACCATTGGGTTTCCAAGGCTGTAAATCTTTACAGAAGCAGTCCACCTCATCTTTCTACCACCAACTTTTCTGGTTACAAGCCAAATGCCTTGACCACTACACTACCAAAGCTCCCATAAGTGTTCCAAGGAACATGTTCCTCTTGGACGTTATTGTTTATTTTATGGGTTATTATTTATTTTAGGAGCTCTAGTGGCATAGTGCCTAAGGCATCTGACTGCTAATCAGAAGGCTGGTGGTTCAAACCCACCAGCCACTCCTCAGAAGGAAGATTGGGCAATCTACTTCCATAGAGATACTGCCTTGGAAACCCAAGGAGGGGTCGCTATGAGTCAGATCTGACTCGCCAGCAGTGAGTTTCGTTTGGTTTAGTATTTATTTTATGTCTACTATTTAGACAGGCCCATAAAATATACAATAACACCTGAGAGGAGCATTTTCCTTGGAACAGTCATGAGATCAAAAGGATGATATTTACTCAAAACCAAAGATGAGATAGCAGGAAGGGGTAGAAAATCCAGAAGACAGAAAATGGAGAACTCAGGGTGGAAAGGAGGAGAGTGCTGACACATTGTGGGGAATGCAACTAATGTCGTGGGACATTTTATGTACAAATTATTGAATGGGAAACTAATTTGCTCTGTAAACTTTCATCTCACCAAAACCAAACTCACTGCCACCAAGTCAATTCTGACTCACAGCGACTCCCATTAGGTTTTCAAGGCTGTAAATCTTTATGGAAGCAGACTGACTCATCTTTCTTCCACAGAGCAGCTGGTGGGTTCAAATGCCTCAACCAGTACACCACCAGAGCTCCTTCAAACTTTCACTTAAAGCACAATAAAAAAGGTAAAAAAAAAAAAAAAAAGTTGCAGGTTACAGCAGTAAGTACATTCACAGGGAACTGCCAGAAATTCCAGCAAGACTGATATGGAACCAAGGATATCATTGCTGACATCAAATGGATCTCAGCTGGAAGCAGAGAATACCAGAAAGATGTTGACCTGTGTTTCATTGACTATACAAAGGCATTCAACTGTGTGGATCATAGAAAATGATGGATAACATTGAGAAGAATGGGAATTCCAGAACACTTAACTGTGCTCATGAGGAACCCGTACATAGACCAAGAGGCAGTCATTGGAATAGAACAAGGGGATACTGAAAGGTTTCAAATCAGGAAAGAAGTGTGTCAAGGTTGTAACTTTCCCCATACTTATTCAATCTGTATGCTGAGCAAATAATCTGAGAAGCTGAACTATATGAAGAAGAACATGACATCAGAATTGAAGGAAGACTCATTAAAAACCTATGATATGCAGATGACACAACCTTGCTTGCTGAAAGTGAAGATGACTTGAAGCACTTACTGATGAATATCAAAGACTACATACAGCCTTTGGTATGGATTACACCTCAACATAAAGATAACAAAAAAACCTCACAACTAGACCAATAAGCAATACCACGATAAACAGAGAAAAGACTGAAGTTGTCAAGGATTTCATTGTACTTGGATCCACGATCAACACCCATGAAAGCAGTGGTCAAGAAATCAAGTGATATACTGCATTGAGCAAAGCTGCTGCAAGAGACCTCTTTAAAGTGTTAAAAAATCAAAGATGGCACTTTGTGGACTAATGTTGGCCTGACCCAAGCCATAGTATTTTCAATCGCCTAATATGTATGCAAAACCTGGACAATGAATAAAGAAGACCAAAGAAGAATTAATGTATTTGAATTGTGGTGTTGGTGAAGAATATTGGATATACCATGGACTGCGCTAGAAGAATGAACAAGTATGTCTTGGAAGAAGTATAGCCAGAGTGCTCCTTAGAAGGAAGGATGGTGAGACTTCGTCATATATACTTTATACATGTTATCAGGAGGGATCAGTTCCTGGAGAAGAATATCTTGCCTGGTCAAGTAGAGGGTCAATGAAAAAGAGGAAGACTCTCAATGAGATGGATTGACACAGTGGCTGCAACCATGGACTCCAATGTAGCCATGCTTATGAAGATGGCACTGGATGGAGCAGTGTTTTGCTCTGTTAAGAGTCAGAACTGCCCCGATGGCCCCTGACAACATTTATTTTCAGATGAGAAAGCACATAGTTTGGGCAACTTCAATAATTGCTATACTGCCATGCTATAGCATGGGTAGTGTGTCATATTCCCTCCTTTGAAAAGTCATTTTAATTGCTATATGCATCAAGCTGAAGGAGCTCTGGTGGCATAGTGCCTAAGGCACTTGACTGCTAACCAGAGGTTGGCAGTTCAAACCCACCAGCCACTCCTTGGAAGGAAGATGGGGCAATCTACTTCTGTAGAGATTTACTACCTCAGAACCCCTGCTATGAGTCAGAATCAACTCAATGGCAATGAGTTTGGTTTGGTTTGTATAACATCAAACTGACGGTGATTAAGATACAGTAAGTTTTACATGAAAAAGTAAAGATAACTTTAAAGCTTTTCATGAGATGCTTTATCAAATGAGCTAAAGATCTAGTATGGAATTAAAAATCACAAGTCCCCCTCACTTGACACTGGAGACACAAAGATACTGTTATAGTAATAAGACATGATGATTAAGTGGAAATGTCTACTCTTCTAAGGCTATGATTTAAAG